TTGCACATGATCTAGTGCTTGAACAAAGCAATAAAAAGCGTTATTATTGATAATTTTTCTCAGAAGTCCTTCCTATCCTGTTCCAGGAACAGGCTATAAGGGGCTTTCTGGTTAACGGTGCATAGCCCTTTATATATTTCCTTCTGTGCCTCAGGTATATTATTTAAAAATTACATGTCAGATCTACCCAAGTATCACTAAGCTTTGTATTATAACAATGTGCAGTGTCTCCAATAAATGTGCTCTTTAATTACCATTTCCTTTTTTTTTATTTTTTATTTTTTTAGAAAATGGAGCCAGAAGGGAAAAGGAAGTTTGTTCTTTGGGTGTCCATCTCAATTAATTTTCTTTGTTATGTCCCCCAAGGTCCCTACAACACTTAAGAGGTGTCGTGATGTTTGGCTTATCTGAGCCATCCATTAAACGTTGGCAGTGTGAGTCACAGAACGTCCCCCGGCCTAGACCAAGGCTCTGATCACACAAACAAGTACCCGTGGACTTTAGAGGCTCAGTCCAAGTTTGATAACCTGCAGCCTGCTCCTCCCCGAAGCCCCTCTCGATGGGCTCAGGCTTGTGTGCGGTTTGGTCTCTTCCTCGCTGGTGCCACAGATAAGCTTGTCAGGGTGTGACAGCAGTGACACAGCAGCTAATAAAGGAAGACCTCGGCCATCCATCAGGGTTACAGACTAAACAATCCTATATTGTTGAAGAACTGTCCCCTTTTTGTACTAATGAGAAAGAAATCACCATGGAACAAACCCAGCAATGTTTCTTTTTTTAAGGCATATTTTAAGGGACTCTCATTCTGTCTTCTGTACGTGCCCAACAAAAAAATGTGAATCAAAGCTACCTGTTAGATTTAGATTTGCAAGACGTTACCAAATGAAGGGACTGATTTGGGGCTCAGGCACTGAAAGGATTAAAACTAAAACCAAAGACTGTGGTGATAGATCTTATTCCCCTTATCATGAATAATACTGGGATATCTGTAGCGAAAGGCTTCGAGAACATCTCTCTGTGATCACTGATGCCCAGGCTCTGGGCGGTATGCAGGACCTACTGAAAGTTCTTCTGTCTTCATACGAGACCAGAAGCAGGCATGAGACTGAAAGAAAAACAAGAGGCATCTTGGCTATTGTGTCTGTTGTTGCCTCATTTCTCCTTGTTGTTCAGCTGTAACTTCGGCCTGGAAGGCAGTTTCGCATGAACAGTTTTTAGCACTTCTCTGTAGAGTCATGTTGGGTTTAGACTGGGTAAAACCCTGGCCTGCAGATTTCAGCAGGGTCAGAGCCTCTATGCTTACTGAGTCCCTTGTCTAGGGATTCCTATCTTTTACTAGTGCACCCTCTAATGCAAAAATGCCAAAGAAATAGTTTTTAAAGCTTTGACTTCCTTATTTTTTTTCCCTTTTAGTCCTTTGAAAATGGAGTGGAGTACTCTGGACAGAAGCCCAGGGCATATGTTATTGTCCTTTACTGGTGTTTATTGGAGCAGCAGGGGTTGCTAGGATTGCCCTACACTGGAGAGATGCCTGTGGAGCAGAGCAAAGGCCATGACTGTATTAGATCCTAAGGTTCTGCACATGGGAGCATTTTCTTGTACGTTCACAAATCATAGAACCATGAAATGGTTTGGGTTGGAAGGGACCTTAACGACCATCCAGTTCCAACCTCCCTGCCATGGGCAGGGACACCTTCCACTAGACCAGGTTGCTCCAAGCCTCATCCAGCCTGGCCTTGGACACTCCCAGGGATGGGGCATCCACAGCTTCTCTGGGCAACCTGTCCCAGTGCCTCCCCACCCTCTCTGGGAAGAACTTCTTCCTGATATCCAATCTAAACCTCCCCCCTTCCAATTTGCACCCGTTACCCCTTGTCCTGTCACTACAGGCCCTTGTAAAAAGTCCCCCCCAGCTTCCTTGTAGGCCCCCTTCCTGAGGTTCCTCAGGATGTTCCCAGCTGCTGTCAGGTGTGGGCCTTGCATTGTCATGAAAGTGAGGGAAGAAGAGGCAGGAGCATCTGGCTGAGAAGATCCTGATGGAAAGTGTTCATTTTAAAATCATGTTCTCTAGCTTTGCATGTGAAAATAAATGACTTGGTCTGTGTTTTTTTTTCCTGTCCCTCAGTAGCTGTAGCACAGCTCTATAGCATTTTAACATGCAGATGTCATGAAGAGTTCATACAAGACAAAATAGGGCTAACAATTTATTATTTGTATTATTTGTAATTCCTCAACTTTAGCAGACTCATCTCCTAAACTATCTCAAAAATAATCCATCACAATGCTTCAAGTATCAACCTATCATTGTGTAGAAATCATAAGGAAAATTGCCTGCAGGAAGAAATGATGATATTACAATGTGCGGGGTTTTTATTAATTTTTTTTCCTCTTCTTTCTTTTTCCTAATAACTGCGTGCTGGGATTCTACTCAATGCATTCTAAGAATTGCTTGTGCACAAGACAGACACGCCTGCCAGGAACTCTCAGGAGGCATATTTTTATTGTTTTGCATTGTTTCTCTTGGTTTAAAGTAAGAACATGATTCTGTGAACTAGTGGCAAAATATGATTCACAGGGAAACATATTGCATCCTAACCCCTTTTTTATTACTAGTAGCTATTGAAAATATGAAGCATGAGACATTGAAAGTAAAGTAAGAGGTCATCTGCTCTGCATGTTTTGCTCAGTGCTGTACATATGCTCATGCAGCTTGTGCCCACCTTTGTAAATAAGTGTGTGCATGATTAACTCGTTACCATGCATTGTTCCAGAGTGTACCTCTATAAATGTTTACAAATTCAAGGAACAAATGTGTTGATCTAATAAAATGTGATAATATTTAAGTGTGTTTGTATCTGGAGAACAAAAATGGGTCATTACTAGCTCTGAATTTTTTTCTTCTTTTTCCTTTAAAGCAGTAGTTTGCAGGGAAAAAAAAAAACCCTACAGGGCTCTGTGGTCATTAAGGTATGGAACATCCTACTATTCCTCTTTAACAATAGTTTTTCAAAGAAATATGCTGCCTATTGGCTCAGCCCGTGAAATTTGTCTCACACACACATGCAAAATATATTTCAAAGACTCATCTGTCATGTAAGTTTTTAAAACTATTTCCCCTCATTGTAACTTTCTGGCAATTACAGCTACTGATTTACACGATAGCAATTTAATCTATTGTCTTGAGAATCAGACGGATGTGACGTTCAGTCTTTATCTTTCCGTTTAAATGAACAAGAGTTCCTGGCTTGTACAAAAACAAGAAATTTCAGAGCAAAGCCATTTCAGTCCTGTCTTCTGAAGGGACATGGGAACAATGGTGTTGTAGGCAACTGGAGGAGTTTCTTGTCCGTGTGCAAGATGAATCTCGCACAGAAGAAGGTACATTAATTTCTAATTAAGGCAGTGATAAAATTATAGAGGCTTATATACTGGCAGATCTTACCTGATTGTATTCTGAATTTTGAGTGGCACCTGCTCTATTGGAATTGGAGGAAACTTCAAGTATGCAGCTTAGAACAGAATGGGAGGTGGAAGGGGACTGGAGAGAAGGGTTTAATACCTTGTCTTTTTTCTTTGCCTGGTTTGTAAAACTGAAGAGTTAATAGAGAAATGCAGTATCTGATTTGGTCACAGGAAAACAGTGCATGCCATAAAAATACACTAGCAAGTGTGTAATCTGAGAATAATGCTTATTGTTTTCTTTACTCTGTAGTAGCATTCCCATGCAATTGCCACTTCTTAGCTATCTTGCAGCAGTAACAGCCTTATGCCAGACTGGTGTGTGCAGCATTATACTGGGCTGAGTTTTATAAAAGATCTTTATTTTTTTCATCTTTGGTAAAGAAAGCAAACTCAGCATTTAGCGTCTAGTGCAAGGTGTCCCTGCCCATGGCAGGGGGGTTGGAACTAGATGATCTTTATGGTCCCTTCCAACCCAAACCATTCTGTGATTCTATGATTTATTTATGTGGCTGTGAACTAGACCTACATAATTGACATCGGTAAGAAGTGAAACTTCAGAAGAATAAACTGAAATCAGAATTTGTCTTTGCAAAATGTATTCTAGTCTTTAATTGGAGGGTTCTTGCAGGGAAAAGGTGTGTCTGGTCTCCTGGCGTTAATATATCAAGTATGGTGTATTTAAGGCTCTCTAGTTGCTTATATGATCAGTGAAATTAACTTGGTTAGATGGAACTCCCTACAGCTTTCATGCATTAACTGCTAATGTCTTACCACAGAATGCATCTGTAGTTCACCATCTGCATGACACTTGTACCCTATTATTATTTTTAAAGGGATGGAAGTACAGGACTTAGTTTATAGACGTATGGAGAAAAAAGGCTGATGTTTTGGTTGTAGAAAGGATGAGACAATGCTAAAACGGATTTTGGTGAAGGGAAGTTTTTGCCATGGGTCTCTAATCTCTGCATGGTTTCCTCCCTTTCGTTCTTGCCCCTTGTCTCAAGCATATTATCACCCTGAAATCCATGGATTATAAGCAAGTGGTAAAAATGGTCTGCCAGCCAGGCCCGTTGGCTGGTGCAAAACCTATGTATTCTTTCCCTTCATGGATGTCTGGGCAGGATGCAAATCTTGTGCAGCAGAGGTGACTTCTACTGAAGCCAAGTTGGCCGATCCAGTCTGGTGTGCTCCTTCATGCCATGTTGCCTGATAAACAATGCTGCGTATTGAAGGGCTTTGTGTTTGCAATGTAGCAACTCAGGTCAATGAGAATAAGTGGGTATGTTGGGCTGCATTTCACGTGGAGGTAGACGACAATTTCTGTGCAACGAGAAGTGAAAATGGGAACAAAGAATAGTTATTCTCCTAGATTACCTATTTAAAGAAGCATGGCTGGGTAACTGAATTACTGTGAAAGTCTGTATGGATTATGACTTTCCAAAATGTTGTGGAACCCCAAAAGAAAGGATAGAAAATGGTGAGTTGGTATGAGACACACCAAACTATGAATACTCTAATCTCTCTTTGATTTTTGACAGATGTTCCTCTTGGCAGTCCTGCTAACAAACCTACTGCTGGCCACTGTAGTATCAGGTAGGAAAACATATTTATTTTCTGATGTCTAGAAACTATAATATGTTTTCACTCTTTATTCTGTGAGATCCTTTGACCATCTAATCCTGCAGTCCTGGCTCAGGCAATATTCTCATCACACTGGAGACATTGATAAAGTTACTACTTTTGGCTCTTTACCTTGCACCAAGCCCTTTGTTCAGTCACAAAGACTTTCTGAAGCGAGTGATTTTTGGCCGAACAAACTATGGGATTGCAGGCAGCACAAATGAATGAACCCATGGCTTTCCTCAAAGGATCAGGACTGAAATTACCCATGCAAGGCTTGGGCAGGGAGAGGTGAAGCAAAAAAGCCATTTCACTAATGCATATAACCCAAAAAACCCTGTGCTTGATCCTGTGTACTGTCATGCCAGGCATACAATCTGCCTAGAAGCTAAAGCTAAAGGTTCGAACACACAATGATCAATGGTGATAAATTCCTGGACTACAAAATGACTGTTTTACAATGCAAGTTATGCTGTGTTTTGGTACCCAGGATCATCAGGTTCTTCGCTTCAGGAGTCATCAGTTTCCCGTTGCAGCCTGTTTGGGAATGATCACATCAAAACTTTTGATGGTTCTTTCTACAATTTTGCTGGGGACTGCAGTTACCTCGTTGCTGGAGACTGTCACAAGCGCTCCTTCACACTCTTAGGTGAGTCTGAGCAAGATACCAAGAAGTAACAAGTGCAAAATGTTGTAGGGATGAGGCATTGCACTAGTGCTGGATTCCATCACTGAGAAGAAAAGACAAATAGTTGCCCTTTGTCAGCTAGGATGGACGACTGCATAAAAGAATCTTGTGGGTTTTTTTTTTTTTTTTTTGAAAATAGGACAAGTAGGATTACTTCTGAGGAAATTCTGTCCCTTGGGCTTCTGTTATCCTTTGGTAGTATAGCTCACGCATCACTAAGCTGCTAAGGAATGGAGATTTTCTTAGTGGCTCCTCTGAAGAGGGAAGTGAGACCTATTTTGAATTTGCTAGGGGAATGTGGCTGTTAAAGTTGAGTACAGGAATAGGAACAACACGACCCTGTAGAAGTAATTTTACCTGTATGCTAAATCCCCCCAGTAAGAAAAATTCCATCCTGTAGCACAAAAGGCCTTTGAATTAGCATGAGCCTCTGCAGCATTATTCTTGGGGATGGGCAAGAGATGATACAAGAACAAAAACTGTATTTTACCAGCATATTACTTTCATACCAGACTCTTTTGGCAGATATCTCTTATATTCACTAATAACTGTTCTGTATTAGTCATAATTTAAGATGATCTTTTACTGACTAGAAGTAAATTGAAGTAAACTGATCCCATTACTCTGAAAACAAGCCATATACCAATTTAAGTAATTCTCTTCTTCAACTTGGACAACTTGGTACACATTTTTTGTATGTAGAAGAACCCATCAGCCTATGTGAAGTATGACACGATTGCAGTAATTTATGTGATCAATTAAATCTTACTAAAAAACCCCATGAGCTTATACTTTATGTTTATACTGGGCACATAAACATGGCATAGTCTCTTTTTGATTCCTATCTTACACATGTGTGGGTTTGGTTTGGTTTTGGATACCTGGCTGTGGAACGCTATCTGCATTGCTGAGTTAAAGCACTTAGGTCTAGCCAGTATTGGCATCCACTCTTATCCAAGATATCCAATCTCTGTTCTTCCTTCACTTCAATGGATTCAACCCCCTTCTCTTACCACTGAGCTATGGGTTGTTCTTGGAAGAACACTAGGAAGAAAAAGAGCAAGGCGGATTGTTGGGCACATCCCCTATGGGAACTCCTCCAGTGTGCATGGAAGGATGGCGAATTCACTGGATGAAGACAGTAGTGGGGAGAGTGTGAGTCCACAGCCAGTGCCAGGTCATGCATCTGCCCATGGTTGATGCCAGCTCTCATCGTGGGACTATGTGACCATTTCACACTAAACAACTATGGGATGAAATAGATGGCTGGCTCTTGAAAATGTTGGATGAGATGCTCCCAGCCCTGCAATGTGTACTTACAAGTTGTCCTCCTGAGTCCCAGAACTAACAATATTTACTTATGTCTCATCTCTTCAGGTGACTACCAGGGTGGGGAGAAAATCGGTTTCTCTGTGTATCTTGGAGAATATTTCAATCTTCGCTTCTCTTTAGATGGAGGTGTGATGCAGGAAGACAAAAGGTACCTGTGGGAGCAAGTATTCCAGCAAAATAAACCCGATGGTTTTTGTGTATCATATTCTGAGAAATTCCTGTTTTTCTTCACAGGGTTTCCATACCTTTTGCCTCCAATGGCATATTTATAGAGAAGGAGGCAGGTTATTATAAAATATCCAGCGATGAGCATGGCTTTGTGGTGAAGATTGATATCAGTGGGAATATTCAGATACTCCTTCAGGAAAAGTACTATAATAAGACCTGTGGGTTGTGTGGCAACTTTAATAAATTTGCTGAAGATGACTTCAGAACTCAGGAAGGTAAGACGACAACTACCTGACTGTATTTTAATGTATGTTCTGCACACCTCTCCTGATGTGTGATTAAACAAAGATTTTGCTGATCCCAGCAAAAGTTTTCCACAAAACCTGTCAGGTGCCTCATCTTGATGCACCTAGAAGCTGTCTAAGTTATTTCATCTTCCTTTCTTCTGAAAGGAAATTGCTGTTACATCTCATTCCTGAGCAAAGCCCAAAGGTCTGAATTTAACACTTTTAAAAACCTTGACTCTTGAAATACACAGATAAAGCTACAGGCTAAAAAATGTATAATATAGTATGTAGGGAGACCAACTAGGAGAAGACCCAGCAAAATGGATGTGAGGAATACTGGTTGATTCAACTTTTAATTTTTCTTGAGTTAGACAAGTAGGAATAAGAGTAGATAGTGTTGCGGTAGCAGAATATTAAATCCTGGGGGTTGCTACTGGCAGGTTTCTACTTGGATTTGGCATGGGATGCTGTTTTATAAAGTGGTTACCTTTTAATGACATTTCCCTCTCACTATGGGCTGTTGGACTGGAGGTGCACCTTGCATCAGACCAGTTCCTAATGAGAGGGAGAGACGACTGCTTTTGCTGCTCAATACACCTTTATGAAAAGTCTGCCAGTGTGGGTGAAGACTAAGAGTTTTGGAAAAGCCCTCAATATGATTTTGAAGGACCAATCTTGATTTGTGTTATTTCAGAATGTCTTTTAATTTTTAGCACTTACCTGAAGAGGAAAGGTTTAGAGTAAAGACAGTTAATATATTAATATGTTAAATTGATAATGTAATGTACGTATTAAAAATAAATGATACAGAAAATAGAAAGGGAGACAAAGCAATTTGGAGAAGAGCCTGGCAGTGCCCCAGAGATGTGTCTTACTGACACTTGGAATACGGAAGCCTAGGTTCAATGTACAGAAAAAACCTGAATTCATAGTATGTTAAAATGATTGATTGGTCCTTCAGCAATGTAAATAACAAGAAACAAACTCGCCTCACAAAGTTGCTTGGCAGGGCTTAGATTCCTTGGTGTCTGATTATGTTGAGATCTGAGGTTTACATATTTTTTCTCGAGAAAATGAATAGAAGTGAGGGTATTATAAAAAGTAGGAGCAGTAAAGGAGACTGTGTTGCCTTGAACTGTTCAGCTGTAGAAAATTCCCTTCTGCTGCTCATGTTTGAATGTGTTCCATGCTGTTTGTTTAACATGCTGGAGACTGTATACTCCCTCTTAAAAAACCCAGTTTTTTCACAAACACAGATTTGCAAATATAATGAAGTACGTGACAGGGTCACTGCTTGGAAGAGCTGAAAAATGATGGAGAAGGTGACAGAGAACATGCGTAGCTCTTACTGTATGAGAAAGGCCCTGACTTCTGTAACTTGCCTGGACATACATATCTCTGATTTTAGCCTGAAAAATAGAATGGTATCTCAGAAATTCTGCCAGTATTTTTACTCTGATACAACAGACCTTTAACTTAAACTAATTTAGAAGGAATTAGAATTAATTATGTTTCTATGTGTTGTATCAGTGAGGGATGTCACTACACCCACATGTTGTTTGTCTCCCTGGCAGCTCTGCTGTCAGGGTTGCTCATATGAATGTTTCTTAACTTGCTCTGAGTAAAACCAGATTTTGATTAATTCAGAACTTTTTTTTTTTTTAAACTGTTGAAGGTTAAAAACTCTGACAAACTCCAGGTGAGGGGCAACACAAGCAGCTGGGATAGGCAATATTCTTTAAACGAAAGATCTAGGCAGCTTATTGGTAGCCTATGAAGCAGTTTACCCATTTCTTTCCACGGCATTTTTCATTTGCTTTCCTCTTAGTCTGGTTTAATCTCATATAAGTCAACCCAGGATGTGAGTGTGGTAGAGATATGATAGCACTGAAGGCTTACATTAAGGTTACCAGAAAACTGAGCTCTCCTGTTGATTTGCCTGTAGCTTTGTGTTAAAATATGAGCATATTTTGGTCTACCAGACTGGGGTCTCAGTTCTAATCCATTAGCTGAATTTTTGGGCTGGATTTGTATTGATAATAAGTACAATGAAGTCTTTGAGCGTCAGAATAATATGCAATGGAAGCACGTTGGTTTGGGGTTGTGTGAAATAAGAGGGGAAGCACCTGCCATCTGATTGTACATTACCACTTGCAACAAGTAAATGAAAGAGGCATGAAGGAAAGGGTGTTAAAACTTAGTGAACAGTGTGTAATATTTTTCTTTTCTCTTGTTATATTAATACCCATGTTCTATAATCTATCCAATTGTGCTATTGCCATGGTGCGCTCGTGACTCCTCACTGTGTTTTGGTGTGGAAACTGAGAACTGGTAGTCTGATGAGAGGATAACCCACATTGCTTCCGTATACACTTTGTATGCTCAGTTATTGAGGTTCTGGAGGTCTAAGTGATGTGACTCAAGCTATGATACCCTAGAAAATAAATATTGCTAGGACCCAGATTTGCCTTAGGCGGTGGCTCCTGAACTTCCAAAAAAACCCCCAAAACAACAAGAGTCTCCCCAGCAGGTTTCAGAGTTGCAGCCACATACTTTCATTCAGAGGATGGGGTGCTGAGTCAGCCTCGTTGACACAGATGATTACTGAACTAGTTCATCCTGCAGAGAAGTGCTCATGTCCTGTCGAGACTCACCAACAAGGGTGATTATGTTGTATGTGGTTGCTTGTTTATTGGATACGGCTGTAAAAACAAGCCATCTGCCTCTTGAGAGTTTGTTCTCGCACCTTAAGCATAACTATAATATAAAAAGGAAGTTGTCTGAAGCTTTCCAGGTTTTTCTTGTTTGGCTTTTTGTTGCTGTTGTTGTTTGGTTTTCCCCTAGATCCTAATGAAGGAGTTAATTTCTCCTGTTTTTTTCCTGGCAGCTAGGCTTTGGTTCTTTATGGGCATCCTCTGAATGCTTCCAAGCCTTGGTAACTGAACAGGCTCTGGTTGACGACATCATCACACACTTCTAACTGGTTGCCAGACTTGGCTTATATCAGAAACATGAAGTTGAGTCCTTCCTAGATGCTCGGATATCTATTTGGCAACTTTCAGCCCATGGCATTTGAGTGTCTCGTGATCTGTCATGAGCATTTTACAATTAGGGATCCAGAGCACAGGCCAGAAGAAATTACTTACATAATACTACAGAAGAAAACTGACACAACATGGGCAACTTGATCTTGAAATCTCCTCAGGGCATGTATGCGTGAGCAAGTTACCAAAACCCTGTAGCTTTGCTGGATGTTAGCATTCGAAGAGCATCCTCTTATCCTGCAGAAAGTGTAAGGTAATTTCTCTCCAATGAGAGAGACTGCAGCGCACGCTCATGGAGCTTATTTGTGTGCCTGTAGCCTCAGTGTTTGCCCAGTACCCTCATCATTGAGCTGTCTCATGCTGACGTTGCTGTGAGAGACGCTTGAATGTCTAGATCATCGTTAAACTTTATTTGTGCAAAAGAGCTTATTCAAGTCCAACACAGGCATATTAATCCATCATTTTTGTTCATGTTACACTCTCTTAGAATTATGGAAGGAAAAAACCCCAACCCAAATTAATCCAGCGTCCCATTATACTTTTCTTGGCACTGGCAGGAAGCGTGTTTCTGGGAATCTGTCTCCAAATTACAAAGACATTAATCAGAAAACAATGCCCATGGCTGATTTTGGATATTCTGAGCCTGCTCCAGCTGTCAGGAACTTATTCCAGCCTTTTAAGCTGCTGAAATACAGAATATATGATGCCATTGTAGAGTGAATATAGGTTAAACAGAAGAAGACAGGATCTGCAAGGAAAATTCTGATGTTTCAGATAATGTTTTAGTTCCAGAAGTAGTATAAATGCATACGGCTGCATATGCAACTTCTGTGTGTGGTACCTCTTTCCAGAATCTTTTAAATCTTGTTCTAAACTCACAGTGATTGTAGTGCAGATATAATTTTTTCCCCCTAAAAAATTAAACAAAACTTTTGGGCATTCTGAAATCCAAATTTCTTGGCATTTTAAAGGATATAAGTAATTTGATTTTAGGCAATTTTAAAGTTTTTGTTTGGCCTAAGTAAATATTTTTTCCCCCCAAGCATTTTAATTTGAAAGGAAAGGGAATAGATGCACAAGGGAATTTAGCTGTCATTTGCAAACAGTACAGAGGAAGTCTTGCCTTGTAACAGTCTTTTATTATGTGGCATCCATCTGAGATGCCAGAAACCTGCATTCATAACCCACTCTGCTTTATTCAGAGGTTGGAATTAAAGTTAGACGTTTTTGTCGTGAGGAGCTTGCCTTCATCGCTGGGCTTTTTTTTTTTCCCTGTCTTGTGTTTAATATTATTAATTTTATGTTCATTGAACCAGAAAGGGCACGTAAGACTTTATAGCCCATGACTTCAATATTTCATATTATTAATTTGGCCCAAACTATGGATCAATTTTTGTCAACCCTGCCAGTGGTTTGCTTGTCTGGAACCATGTACTGAATCATGTAAAACAACTGTTTAAAAAAGAAATAAACCCTAAAACAACACGTGTTTGAAGGTCAACGGTTGTCTCAACCTTGAAATCTTAACTTGTGAGTAAATGAGGATCTGGTGGTGCCTGACAGTGGGAAGCTCAAGATGAGCGTGTGTTTAGAGCCAGAGGAACACTGCTTCAGAGCAGAGCCCATGTCCTGTTGTATAACTGTTAGTGTAAGGTTGGATTAGCACAAATAAAAGGGGATGTATTTAATTTGGCACCTTGCTTCTCATCAGACTAGATTTCATCCTTACTCTAATCTTTACAATCTGTGAAAGCTAAAGGGTTACATTCTTCTTACTGCTGGGTTTTTTTTTTTCCTGTCCCGAGTTCTGGCTCAGCATAGATGAAAACTTCGTGCTTTTTCCCACCGTCCCCTGGCGTCCTTTCCTCAGAGTCTTCCTCCTTTGGCATCTGCTGTGGACCTAACATACACGGCATTTATAAGCCCCTAATTTCTAGTTTACAGAAAGAAGTCTGCTACTGGCTTTATGACATCTGCCTTAGCATTCTCAGTGTCGTTTTCATGACCACCTTTTAGTTCAGGAACAGTTTTAGTGTTGAGTATAACCTGTGTGATTGTACTTAATGTACAGCAGGTACTCAAATTACTGTTATATATACATATATGTTATGATATATAATAAAAATATTATATAAATATATTAGGGAAGCATTTCTTTTGTTTTCCAGATACAGTCAGGGTCATATTTCGACATAGTCTCTGCATAAGGTCTCGGGAATGCGATAACAATGGCAACTGATTTTCTGACATGCAATGCAGTAGGGTTTTACAAAGCAAAGTTACAGAATTGAGAGAGGGTCATGAAATTGGGGGTTTTGTAGCAGGTAGGAAGCAGATGTAGTCCTTGAGTCATCCAAGCCATGGGAGGCAAAGGGGAAAGAGGGAACATTCCCTTTCTGGGAGGAGCCCCCTTCTCAGAAGGATGGAGCAAGAGAAGGAGAGACACGGCTTGCATCTCCCAGGAAGTGGCAGCCATACAGATGAACTCCTTCAGTTTTGCAATTATGCAAAGCGTGTGCAAACCTTGCTGAGCCTGAGCCAGGGGCTGCTTGTAATAGGCCAGAGGAACATGTTTCAGGACTGCTTATACAGTAAGATCATGGGCCCAAACAACCATGGTGTATGTTAAGTTTCTTTATGCAAGATTTAGTTTCAGATAGAAGGAGAGAATCAAGGCTGGCTGGGATCAGGAATGATAATACTTTCTCTGGTTAGGGAGTGCAGCTCCATTCTGTGTGCCTCTCTAATATGTCTTCTGTTTTATTGACAACTTTTAAATAGTATAAAAATGTGTAGGCACGCTTAGGTTTCTGCAGATTATAGCTGGCAAGCAAACGACTCCTACCATATTCATGCAGGTGCTAGAAGTGCTGGGAGCTGCCTTCTGCAGGCTTTAATCTGTCCTTGAGCTGAGAGGTCCTCTGCAGGAATCAGTCCAGGTCACTGAAAGTGGCTTTTCCACAGTCAATCTATTTGGAATAGAAATTCATTTGATACGACATTTTTTATTGTTAAAACTAGCTTTCAGCAGACTATCATACTGATAGTAGCCAATAATGACCAGTCGTTGTCCAAACCCCTGAGCAACCGTGTGCTTCTCCTTTTCTTCATTCACAGGGACCCTTGTGGGAAACAGTTACGATTTTGCGAACTCCTGGGCTTTGCACAGTGAAAACAAGCGGTGCAAGAGAGTGCAGACACCAAGCAACACCTGCAACATTTCATCTGATATTGTGGAAAAGGTTGGTGCCACAAGATACCGTTCGGGTTTCAGTCCTCCCCTACCTGACGGCAGCGTGCCTGCCCCGTGGCAGAACAACACAAGTGCTTCCTTGAATCCACGTCCGTATGTGGTCCTCCCTCAGCAAGCGGTTAGGATGCGAGGTGCAGGAGACACCTGTTTTGGGTTTTTGAGGTGCAGCGTGGTCTGAGATAGCAATACTAGGCACTGATCTCACCACTGCCCTAGAACAAGGCGTGCAGCTCCTTGTCCAGCCTGGCAGGGGTTAACCAAGGGGCCGGTGGTGGCCGCAAGTAGGTCCCTGCTGTGGTGCAGCAGGGTCGGGTGCGGGCAGAGGGTGGAAGCGACGCATCTGGAGTGCATGCCTGTGCTGTCTGTGGGTGCTCCCAGCCTCCCCGTGAGCCAGCTGGGCGCAGGATGCTGCTCTGTGCAAGAGCTACGTGCCCTCCCTGCAGACTGGCTGGTGCTAGCGGGAGGGTTTCTGCACCGGTGTACCCAGTGCTGTAGGGAAGTGACCTCAGAGGCTGCATCCCGTGACTTATTTACATGCAGGGTTGAGAAAGGAACAGTTTACTCACTAGTTAGGAAATGCAATTTTTCTCTCCCTGCACGTCACTGTTCTTTCTAAAACTGTAGTACATATATATCTCCCTTTTCGCTCTCCCCCAAAACCCCCAAATCCAACACACAAACATCAAACAGACATACAAAGAAACCAACGGTTCATCTGAGCCTGAATTGTGAGTTGCTGCCGAAGAAACTCTGATATTCCTTGCGAAAGGTGTGTTGAAGTGGTGCCGTAGACTGAGGTAGTTAATTCTGATTCTGTTGGCAGGGAAGCATCAGTTCTGAAGCCTTTGTGGGCATCACCACCACAAAGAGTATTTGTGGATGTGTTGCAGTTCATACACCTGGGAGTCACCAGAGCGGGGAGATGCTTTAGATGGGCTATTTTTGGAGAGGATATGTTCTCCGTAGGTGTTGCAAAGGCTCCGTGCCACCAGGCTCTTTCTCTTGCTAAGGGGAGGAGGTTCCTCCAGCTATGTATACAGATAGTAGCTCTGATTTGTTGAAGAAACACAGAACTGCTTGTCTCAGGCAGTTCTGTGACCCCTTTGCTGCCTCAATCTTTTTCTTCTCCTCTTGTATAAGTATAAACATGTTCCTTATTTCCCATAGACACAGGTTGGTCGCCAGCTCAGGGATGAAAGCAGCTTTGAATATATACTGACTGCATGTGGTGTCACAGGTTATGGCTGTCATGACAAATTGAGCCTTCATCCATCGAGGGTTTGCATCTGGTCTCATGCACTCTGTTGTACATCAGAATGATCGGGTGGGTGCCAGGTTTAGACTTATACCAGAGTAACTGCGTCCAAAATTCAACTGTCAGTTTCTTGCTATACGAGTCCTGTAGACCAATACCTGTTAAACTAGGCTCTCGAGCAGCAGCACTTCCTAGGACATACCTGCTCTACAGCTACTTTGAGTGCTGGATTCCTAGTTACCTGGAAAAAGCTAAACAAAGACTCGGACAAACTTACAAAGTTCTTACAATTTCCACTTCCACTAAGCTTTTGGATGTGGATGCTTGTGTTAGACATTCTCTAAAATTCAGTGAAGCATGCTCATGCCCCTTAGCACTGCAGCTTCAGCCCCATAGCCTGCAAACTTGGCTGGGGAAACACAGCAGTGTTTTCAGGTTGGAAATCTCCAGCCTGTTTCTTGCTCGAGCGGAACCAGTTTGCGTGGGGTGGTTTTGTTGGGGTTAGGACTGGTTGAACACCTGATCTGAGTAATGGTGCATGATGTCAAGGGTGTGACCAAAGCGTGAGGGGGGTTCAACCTGGCTGAGATGTCTTCTGAGGTACAGGACTGGTTACAACCAGTTTAAACCTGGTTGCGACTCCAGAGCAGGGTTAGTTCTTGTAACTGGTTGTGGCCATTGGAATTTTATCTGTTCAGGAAAGTTTAATGTTTGGAAAATGTCAACATTACAACGGAGGCCAGGGAGTGGCATGCAGGGCAAAATCCTGTCTGATGGGTAGACTGCAGCTAATGCAAGTTTTATTGAGATCACGTTAAATATTGATGATTTGTTGGATAAAGTTTTGCTTTCCTGCAAACTAGACAGAATTATCTTCTCTCTTGTGTGAGTCCATGAGCTCACAGCATTTAACATTGACTTAAATTTATTCACTGTGCAAGAATAAACACAGCACTATTAATAGAAGTCCAGCCAAAGGAGTGCCTGCTGAAGAATGTAGGGCTTTTTAATAGTGTGCTTTGTTTGCTTGCTTCAGCTTGAGGAATGTAAATCTCCTCCGTCTCCCAGCCTCCCTCCCTGCCAGGCAGTCAGCTGCTAGGTGAGGAAAACAACAGCTTTGGTTCAGTGCGATCCGCCCGCCCCCGTCACCCCACTCGGCATAGATCTGCAGTTTTCTTTGCCCTCTCTGCCAGCCTCCACAACAGCAGCATCCTTGGAGAGATGGCTTCTGACTTCTTTGCAAGATGCAGTGAAGACAGAAAGCCCTGATGCTGTTTTACCTTCAAAACATAGAAAACACATGCATTTTCGTGTTCTTTAATAAGGAAGAGCCCTTGTCTTGATTAATGGCTTCCTGTATCAGCTGAAGGTCTTGACCCAGCTCACACACTTCCCTTACTGTTGCGCTGGGCCTCTCCCTGCCCTCCACCTCCAAAACGCATACACACTTACATGCGTTTGACAAGTCTGACCTATTTTTTTCATTATTTCTATGTGATGATTTAGGCTACATGTTCAATGAGGTACTGCAATCTAATAGCCTCTCAGATGACTTGTTAGTCATGGGCAAACGGATCTTGAAGTATAAAATGGAGTGATGCGGGTAACTGGTAATGAGACAGCCTTGAAAACAAAAATATATATGTTTTAAAGAATTTATGATTGATATATGCATTGTTACACATTACTTTTATATTCTAGATTTCACCTCTAATAGGAATGTGTATGGAGACCACAGTTCACTGTATTCTTTCTTTTTTTTCTTTCGTAATAGGAAACTATACCTATAACATGTTAAGTGTGAAAATAACTGAAATTAGAATTCTGATTTCTGCTTTTGCTGAAATACAGCTTTTGCTAAATTGGTTGGAAATAGTCTCATTCATACCCCATGGAGTACTTCCATATGCAATAAAGAAATAACATTTATACCCATGTCTGAAAGAAACTGGGAGAGATTTTCAACTTTTGGACCATAATTTGTAATGGTAGAGGTCACAAGAAGGTCTGGCAAAGACATGGACATACAATGCTGTAACACATTTTAAGGGTGGAAATGAGACTTACTATATCTAAAATCTTATTTTCTGCTACTGAAATATACAAGTTAGCTGAATCAGGATTCGAGTGAAGTGACTTCTGTCAGGTGTTACTATGTTTGCCCAAATATAGAGCCAGTGTTTACTGTACTAAACACATTGGCTTTGGGTGCTTTTTAATTGGAGGTATGGGAGGCTAAACCATTCTCCCTTTGATAGGTGAACCAAAAGATGCATTCCGAAAAACTATACTCAATTACAGCACCAAAGTATACCCTTCCTGAATGACCTGGAGAAACACTTCTCTGTATCTATATACCATAGGGTTTAAATACAAGGGAATGAGAGAGTGTCTCTGCTTTCTTCTGTTACTCCTTAGCTTATATCTCTTTAATGGTTGGAAATGGTTTATCTCTTTTACCAGTTGGAGCGAGTCCAGAGGAGGCCACGGAGATGTTCCGAGGGCTGGAGCCCCTCTGCTATGGGGACAGGCTGGGAGAGTTGGGGGTGTTCAGCCTGGAGAAGAGAAGGCTCCGGGGAGACCTTATAGCACCTTCCAGTGCCTGAAGGGGCTACAAGGGAGCTGGGGGGGGCTTTTTACAAGGGCCTGTAGTGACAGGACAAGGGGTGACGGGTTTAAATTGAAAGTGGGGAGGTTTAGATTGGATATCAGGAAGTTCTTCCCGGAGAGGGTGGGGAGGCACTGGGACAGGTTGCCCAGAGAAGCTGTGGATGCTCCATCCCTGGAAGTGTCCAAGGTCAGGCTGGATGAGGCTTGGAGCAACCTGGTCTAGTGGAAGGTGTCCCTGCCCATGGCAGGGGGTTGGAACTAGATGATCTTTCTAACCCAAACCCTTCTATGATTCTATGAATGGCAATTGTTAAGCAATAGACAAATGCATTTCATACAGCAGGAGAAGGCAACACCACAGAAATTTGAAGAATGTAGAAAATTCCACCTACAGCTTTGTGTGGTGGGACTGGGGCAGAAAGAAGGTCAGCCAGTTTGTGGTTACTAAGGGTTGTCAGTGCCAGGACACCACCAACCCATTTAAAGAAACACTTAAAATAGGACTCATGCAGAAGTCAAGGGAGACGTTTCAAGACCTTTACCTGTATTTCAGGTACCACATTCAGTTCTGCTAGCCCTAATCTTACAGCCAACTGTACTGTAAGCACTGTTTCAGCCTGAGGCTTCACTCCCTGATCTGTTGGTTTTACATGTTTCTTGTGTGGAGCTGCTTCCAGGACTTGTGTTCCATTAGCATGAATGCTACAGTAGTGGGTGAGACTGCCAATACGCTCACCACATATTGTCCATTGTCCCCTGAACGAAAGAACAAGGAACCTCTCTTAATTCAGCCTGACCATTGAGTTTTAAAGAAAAAAAGAGAAAAATAATTTGCAGAATGGTTTAAGTTAGAAGGGAGCATCAGAGGCCATCTAGTCCAACCTCTTGTTTGCAACAGGCCCATCCTAGGTCAGGTTGCTCAGGTCCTTGTTGACTCACATTTTGAATATCTCCAAGGGTGGTGGTTCCACAGCCTGTCTGAACACTTGTTCCAGTCTTTGACCATCCTCATGGTGAAAGTAATTTTGGTTTTGTATCTATTTGGATTTACCTATATTTTGGTTTACGTCTGTTAATTGATCATGGTTGTTGTGATATGTCTAAAATATGGGAAAATTTCAGCTATAATTTCTTGTATAAAGTCATTGGAAAATCTGAAGCAATTTCAATGGCAAGAAAACCTTTACTTAGGGAAAATGAACTGTTTGTTGCTTTCTAACCTATATTCCTTAGTATCTTGATAATCAGGGAGAACTCAGTCACTAGGTATGTTTGTTATTGAACAAGACCAAAGAACCCTATAGGCAAAAAATAAAGGGGGCATGTGGGGGATAATTTTTGTGTGTGTCTGGAATCTCTATTTTCAAAATCACTTTCACATCTAACATTCAGTGGTGTGTAATAATCATAGTCATAAAAGTTTGTTTCTATTAGTCTTACTGTTCAGCTGAATATACATAGTCTGAGTTCTATTGCAACATAACAGTCAAGTTGGATCACCTTTTTAACAAGGCTATTACTTTATTAAGAAAACTTATTAACGCAGCCCCTAAAAGGGCTTATTGCATATACTGGTTTTCTGTTGCATTTGATAGTATCTGGGTCAAGGCTTTGATCCAGGACCTGCTGCTCTGCTCATTCTCTGAAGAGTGCTGAGCTCACTTTGGGTTATATCAGTTTTATCTTGAAGCGCTGCTTTAATAGCTTTTTTGGCTGCTCCTGCTGTTGTTACTTCCACCCCTAGGGCACTTTTTTGACTTTCTTGTACTTCTGTATAGTCTCAGAGCAGCACCAATCACCATTTATGCAGTTCCTGCTCCCTTCCTTCTAGTCTTTTTTTTCCAATTGGTTCAGCATGGTGGCCTCTGTCTGGGCACTAGAATTATTCCAGTCTGGAGCTGATTTTCTGGACGACAAACATGTTCAACTCTCTAATGATGCTCAGTTGGCATTGCTTTAACTTCCCTGAGGCCTTTCTCGGAAAGCTCAAAACCTCTTTGTGTATGCAGTTGTTCTCAGCACTTTGCTAAACTCTGCATATGTTCCCAATGGGCCAGAGATTTCTGGCTGATTTGTTCTCATAAGCAAGAAGTACTCTCTCAGTTCAGACATGTACTAGCTTTAACTGATCACCTGGACAAAACACGCATTAGCAAAACCCAGTCTTTTCTACTCAGCTGTTTTGGTATACAGATATGCCATTTGCCATTCAGAGAAGACATCTAGATGTCTGCTGAATTCTGCGGGTGTTTTTGCTCCTCATTCTTCATGTTCCCAAAAATGGAAACAAAACTTTTCCTCCCCCTGAAGAAAGTTATGCTTCAACTGTTTGTGCTCGGATGGTATCCGAAAATATTTTTTGCATTTGTCTAAACTCAGTTTCATCCTTTCAGAAAGTTTCATTGAGGACCTCAGGCTTACTGAACTGTGACATAAAGCATACATAAGAGTCTGTTCGTGAGCCTCCACTGGAGAAATTAACCATAAACTATACTTTCCTGAGGTTTTGTTTCATATACAGCTAAATTTCATCTTAGCTTGCTGCTGTTGAGAGTTCTTGGTACCCTCCTCCCCATGTCCCTGTGCAGCCCAACCCTTACACGAGCTGTCACCACGCTGATCTGACCCATGAGAAGAGCAGAACAAATTACTTTTTTTTCCCTGGGTTATTTTTCTGCCATTTATCTGAGTTAAATTAACCTGCTGTGCATTGGAGAAGCCAGCAGGAGCTACAGGAACATGTGGCCAGAAGTGGGAAACACAATCAATTCCTTGGATTCCAGTGAGAGTTAATCTTTCACTCTGAAACTTACTCTGTTCTTTAATTATCCAAAAGATGGTCTGGTCATTTTTCTTCCTGAGCACCTCAGTTATAAGTTCCTTTCCCTTGCTGTGCATATTTTCCTGGTACTCCAAACATCATCTGGTTCTTCACTGGGTAGGAAGCAGTTCTTTGCTTCCCTCCAGTTGATGGCTGACTGACATGTTTCTGCATGAAACATCCTTTATATGACACTCTCTCTCTAAAGATATATATATAAATGAGTAAATCAATGTACTTCTGTGTATATATGGATGTGATGAATAAAGGGATGTAGCTCACTGCTAGTTCTTGACTATGAGATTTAACTACATGATTCTGTTAAATAATAATCATGATGTTATTTAACAGCAGTGGTGACAGTGTTTGGAAAAGTTGAGTTTTCTCCCTTCTTCCTGAGACTATAGTAAGTAATTTTGCCTCTTTTTCTCTCTCTCTCTCCCTTTGCCCCTCACTTGTCATACAGGACATCATGGAAACCTGTCAGCTGCTAAGAACATCTTTGACCTTCTCCCGGTGCCACCACCGAGTTGATCCAGAGCCATACATGGATCTCTGTGAAAGAGACATCTGTGCCTGTAGCCAGGGCATGGACTGTCACTGCTCGGTGTTCCTCGATTATGCAAGAAGCTGCGCTCATGAAGGAGTGACTTTGGATGGGTGGCCTGAAGAGAGTTTATGCCGTAAGCTGACAGGATTATTCCTAGGCTGTTTATCCCAAATGAGTTCATGTGTGCCTTGCAGATTTATGGGCTGCAGTTAAAAGCAACTGGTGATTTTTTAGGAGTTGATTCAAGTTGATTCAGGCATGGCAGGTTAAAAAAAAAAATTTAAAAAGTAGTGGCTGTCACTTCCACTTATCTGAAGTGCCTTTACTGCCCCGCCCTTTCAGCTCTCCATCACCCACCTTTTTCTAGAAGGTTTTGTCCCTAAGGCAGGATTGTTTGAACCATATATGAAGAATATCCTGAGCTGTTAGAAGTCCCACCATGGTCTACAAAGTCAGTGAAGGCTTATTTGATACACAAAGGTATAGACTAGGATGTTTAGGGACTATTTCACCCATGGTTCAGATGCGTGACATTATCCAGCATGTAAGTGTAAGTCAGTATCCTCATGAAAGACTCTCCTTAACGTTTTTTTATAAAGACAATTGTTTCATCCTTTATTTGCCTGAAGCAGTTACATTGAAATTGAGATGTTGCCTTTTATAAGCCAAATTTTGTCTAGGTTAGAGATCCTGATTGCAACTTGAAATGCTGCCTTTTATTAGCCCAGTTTTGCTGAGGTCAGAGGTCCTGATTGCATGCCTGCCAAGATTTTGCAACAAGGAAGTGCATAGATTGACGGGGATAAAATGTGTTTGTAGAGGAAAGGGCACGCTTACACCCACCTTTGATGTACATATATACCTTCACTGGAGAGCCCCAGTTAAATACATAAGCATACAAATTAATAATAAAAACCCCTCAATCCTCTGATATAATCTTCTCAATGATGTTCCTCATGTTTTTACATTACAGAGGAAGGACAATTTTCTCAGGATGTTTATGTAAATAGATTTAATGGCGTAACTGACTGATTTGTATTGACAACACTTTCTTCTGTTGGCCACCACTGAAGAAAACTATGCCTTCAGATTATGGTTAGGGCAGGAAGATACTGCCAAACGCTTGTTCAAGGGATCGTATGCTAGAGGAGAGTCTTAATTCTAGCAGTAATTTGTTACCTTTCCTTTGGGACATAAAAGGGATCTGATGAATACTTGCCTCCTTGCTCAGGGTGCAAGCCAGAGAACCCATTTTTCCTAGGGCTGCCTGTAGGTCTAACTAAAGCCATGAGTGAAATGAAGCCATGTCTGTTCCCAGGAGTTTTAGAGCTCATTTCTAACCCTTGACTTCACAAACCATATTTTTCCTGAATCAGGAAAAAGAGAGGCGGCCTGCTGCCACATCACGAGCTTAATTTTCTATCACCCTTCATCTGTGCTATGGTGCTTTCTCAGGAGATGATGATGATAGTTGCGTTGCAGACATGAAACACTCTGCTGTGTTGGAAGGGCTCTAGCTCTGGCCACACTGTGCAAGTGCAAGCTGGTGCCCAAGCCCCGGAGCCACAGAGGGCAAGACCGCTCCTTCGTTACCCTCCCATCTCCTTCAATAGAGGCTTTTCTGGGAAAGAATAGGCTGTAATCTTTTCTTCCCGCTCCATACCCACGCAGTCTTGCAGGGTATGTCTACTGTCGTGGTTTAACTCCA